TGGTGGACTCTTGACCATCCTGACCAGTCGTCTCTCAGCAGCAGCTGCTAGTTTGTGTTTCCTTCCTGATGGTGGCAGTAACACAACTGGACCATGAACTTTATGCTGACACACTGATGGTTCTGGATCTGAAGCTGCTCTGAAACGTCTCCAAGTGACTTTCTGACTGGTTCCAGTCAATAGTGTACATTTTCAGATCTTTGCTGAGCTCCTCAGACTTTCCTTCTGTATCGTTTGTAGCTGAGTCTAATGAGTGGATCAGATGGTTCTGTTTAAACTGGATCAGAGGAGTCAGTGAATAATAATCACTCATGTGAAGAGGCCATGCCCTCAGAAAAGGTATTCAGCAGCTTTCTACATCATAAAAACTGATCATTCAAGCCGCTGTATGTATATTTGTTGCTCAGCAGAGTTTGTCTGATTTCCAGAAGGCCTTTAATAAATCTATGAAAAGTGCTGAAACTTTAGTTTACAACTGTATATGCACAAGTAATATGCATACAAGCCTCCTGCTAAAGCAACACATGTATGAGCGTTGTGTAGGAACTCCACGTGTACCAGCATTTAGATTATAGTCACTATACAATCAGTGTGTCCAACACTTTATCACTAAATATCTGCAGAACAAACGACATTCAACCAGCTGGACTTTGTGTTTATTACTAATTAGCTAATGCCATAATGCTAACATGCTAAACTGAAACGGTGAACAGACTTGCTAAAAGCATCAGCATGTTAGCATTTAGCTCGAGGCACCGTGGAGAACGACGTCACAGATGTGCTGGCTGTTACCAGAATGGCATCAGTGGGTCTGATCAAACCAAACACAAACCTATGAGAGGCTACCAGAAACATCTCACTGAAGATCTGAGGTCAATCTGAGTGATTCCAGCAGAAGCATCAGGTTTCTGTGGCACAGCTGCCGTTTTTACAGCCTCAAACTGACGATCATTCACGAAAACATCTCACCACGGTGGCAGCGTTTGACACGGACGTCGCTGACAATGCAAGAAACCTCAGATGTTATTGATGTTGACGCCCAGGCGGATAAATTAAAGATTAAGCCACGCTAAAGGTCGGATAATGTCAGTGTGCAGCCTGGTGAGCGCGCTGCAGCAGCCGAGAACGTTTAAATGGAGGAAATCAAACGGTGAATCATTGTTGCTCTCGATGCCCTTTTTAAAAACACAATCGCAGAATGAGTCAGGAGGCGAAACAACACAAGCTGCACTGAATGAAGGCTGGCTATTATTGCGCACGCTTCAAAGCCTGTGGCATTAAAAACTGAAGCTGGTCTCTTATTGATCTCTGGTTGATCAGATATTAGTCAGCAGCTTCTCGAGTCACTGAAACTTGTAGGCAAATCTGCTGATGAGCTTCACTGCCTCGGTTACAGAAGCATCACGCCGGTACACAGTTAACACAACTACAGTAAACGGAATATTTGTTCCCGACACTGCACGTATAAATACTACGTCAATGAAAATTTTCTACAATTATACACACGGATGCCTACAAGCAGCACACGTTTGAAGGATTATATAGTGTGACGTCTGCACAGACCAGTACCAACATTACACGTATTAATATTAAATACACAAAAGTCATGAGTCATATGAGTAATACACGTACAGGCGCTACGTCTATGAACAGAACACGTATTACAGCTACGAACAGTACACGTATGAATAGTGTTGTATGAATTACATCCACATATACGAATATTACAGTTTTGAATGTTACACATGAATGTTACCGGTATGAGCATTAAGGCCACTAACACGAGTACGAACATTACGTGTATGAATGTTACATGCACACGCATCATGTATACAAATATTACATGTACAAATACTACATCTGGTAACAGTACGTGTACTACAGCTACAAACAACCCACGTGTGAATATTGTGTCTGCGGATAACATGCATGAGCATTAGATCTATAGATATTACATTCGTAGATGTTACGTATACGAATATCACACGTACAAGCGTCTGTCAACATTACTCGTATGTATATTACAGCTACAACATAAACAGGAGCTACATGCGTGAACATTACAAACAACACATGCGTTACGTTACATCGATAAATGTCACGTTTAAAAATATTCCACCGTACATTACAGCTTCAAGCGTCACACATCACAGATGCTACGTATACGAATAATACACAAACGCTACGTCTAATAATATTAC